TGAAGACCCAGCAGCAGGCGGCTGACATTCTCACCAAGCGCCTGGCGGAACCTGAGCACTGGAAAGGGATGAAGCTTGCTGGAATGAGCATTCATTGAGCTGAGGCATGTGGGATGATGGTTGGCAGCCAGAGGGGGAGTTTGTTGTGTGATGCTATCATTCGCATTCACGTCTGTCTGCTTCACATCATATGTTCGTGCGTTGCATGCATGGTGCGAGTGTGTGCAAGAATTTGTGTTTGGTGTGGTTTGGATTTTCTGAGTGTGTGTGAATGTTATTTGGCTTGAGCAGATATCTGAAGTGACTGCTCTGCTCAAGAGCTTTCCAACGAACCAAGAATCGTCGCGATCGGAGCACGGACGAGAAAGTTACGAACGGTTGAAGTTCGTATGCTTTTGAAATATTGGTTGCGGCGACTATGGGAGTTTGTGGGTTGGCTCTATTTGGGGTACAGACCTTTTGGGGTTGGGAAACTCGTCACTCTACTGTAGATTGCTTCCAAGTGGTTGGGAGAAGCCAAACCAGGTTGGCAAGTGTGGCCAAGTTGGGTGAGGTGGATGGCATGAGTTGGGAAAGTGACAAAAAGTAAAAGTGGGGTTGCCATGGGGAGGGGATTTGATGTGCTTGCGAGGTTTCCTTGGTTGGGGACTCCCTTGGGACCTTCCATCTTGTCCTCCTCTTCTCTTCTACCTGGTTTTCTAGCTACTCTAATTTTCTTATGTGTGACTTGTGAACTTGTGAGATAATTTGTTATTAAGTTTCCATAGCAGCATACCCCCTAGTGCGCCGAAATTGATAACTCATGATTTAGTTCACCTTTGATGTGATTCAAAATTGGAAATTGTAGCCATGGTCAAGAGCTACATTATACTCGGTTTTCGTGAGATTCTAACGGTGAATTTTTCGTCGACGACGTTTCTTGTGAAGTCGACGATTCTGTCCAGAAATTGTGACCAACGATTTTGTGTTATTTCGGCACCTAATCTTCATAGACTCCGTCCTTAGTCTCTAACACATCTCAACGCACCTATGTGCAGCTGAAATGTCGCTTTGCCGTAGACGAAAATCTATGTACCGCCCACCATGGTTGCTGAAAACTGGGTCTCCTCCGCCTTCTCTCCAATTGTCTTCAACAATCCGCGGTCACACACTAAGTGGGACGCCCTGCTATCCACCAGTGCCTGGAGGCGTCGCCCTTTGCATAATGCCTTGAAGAGTAGTGGTTTCTGCTGCTCTGAGTAGCCAAAGAGGGTTTCATTAATAAGATCATTGGGTACATAAAATAAATTACCATCATTTTTTCCTATGCTTGTCTTAGCACTTTTAACTTCCAACTTCACCTGGGGGGTAGGAGGATTTTTCCGAGGCTTGCACAACTTCTCCTGATCCTGGAATTTTCCTCTAAGCCTTTGCAGCTATGTAGGCTTCACCTGTGGGCAATGGGGAGCCTTAACACGGTGCTGCGGGGAGAAGATACTAACTCCACGGAACGCACGACCCTTTTCTACGCTCCGAGAACTTTGCCCAATTTCTCAGGTACGTAAATAATTTCCGTAGGCTTTTTCTTGGCCTCTAATTCTCCCCTGAATTCTTCAAAAGCTTAAAAACTACAAAAAGTAATATTCTTAGTTAAAGTATCTTTATAGGATAACTTTAACGAATTCTAACTTTCATGGGGTGTTCGGCTAGAGTTTCCCGGTCGGTGCAGAGACTTTTTTTGCGGAGCCTCCATTCGCCTCTTCGATTTCCCCTATTGCCGGCCGGTCGTGACGTTTTATATTTGCGCCATCATCTTCTCATTTTTTTCGCCCGCTCCGAAGTCGCCACGTCGCCGCCCTTTTTCCCTTTTCGGATCGTTATGTAATTGCCTGGTCGATCCGCGGCTACTGGCGATTCCCGCTTTTTTAGTTCGGGGGTATTGTGCTGTTGCTGCCCAGCAATTCCGCACTTGCTTTCTTCGTTTTACAGCATGACAAGATTTGATGTCTAGCTGCGCCGCAAAATTTGCACTTTGTCGGTCGTGGCTTCGCGTCAATCTTGTCGATATCCATCGGTTTGGCGAACGTGGGAGGTGCCAATCGCTCCATGCAGAATGATTGGTTTGGCATGTGACGTCGTGTTTCGGGTTGACCACGCGTCAACGCATCGTATCGTTTAGTTGCATGCACCATGTCGCGGTAGCTACTGTAGTTTGCAGCGATGACCTGTCGGCGAATCTCCATTTTCAACCTCTCGGTGTACGCTTGGATTTTTTTGCCTTTGGTCAGGTCGGTGATGAGGTTAAAAAGTTGTTCCGTCTGCTGCATGTACTGTGCTACACTCCCGTACTGTTTATATCAGTGAATTCGCTGCCGCCCCATGTACGCCGAATTTGCGGGTTCGAATCTTTCGATGAGGTCTGCCCAAAACCGCGCCCACGTTCTCTCCCCCCAGACCACTTCACTATAGTAGATCAATTCAAGTGCTGGGCCTCGCAACAGTGTCGCTGCGAGCCGAATTTGTGCTGCATCGTGTGTCGGGGTCGAACAGCCAATGGCCTCGAAGTAAATTTCGAGGGTTGCCACGAATCGTCGAATGTCCGATCCCTTCGTGCTCGGATCGAATGCTTCGCGGCGAAGGACGAAGGTCGGTGCAGAGGACCCGGCTGGTATACGTCACCCGACAAAGAACGTCCCCCGCTGCCGAGATGAGGAGCATCCCGTCACCGCCGTCAGCTTCACACCGCTCTCCTTCAACTGGCCGGCGGATAGCAGGTTCGCTTGCATGCCAGGGACGTAGAGCACGTTGGGGATGAGCTCCTGGTTCCCGGATTCTCCTTGCAGGGCGACCGTGCTTCAGCCGTGGACGTCCTACAGCGCCCCATTGAAACCGCGCACATGCTTATCGTCTCCGCTCGGCTTCAAGTCGACAAAGGCTGCCTTCTGTTCGATGTACAGGTCGTCCGTAACTTGGTGCGTCGACGTGATGAACTGCCACACCTGGTGGCCGGCGTCCAAGTAGCTCCTGCATGACTTCAAGGTGACCTGCACGCCAGGCGAGCACCACCGCGAAATGACTGTGAAGGTGAGCAGATGCACGGCGTGGAACTCCACGCGCAGCTTGGCGCTGGTCGCAAGCAGCGTCTCCACGCTGCCCTCAGCGAAGCACATCAAGCTGGCCATCTCCAACTGGGGCTCGATGGCCTCATTCCACGTAGGGAGGTCGTGGCGGCCGACTAGCAGGGGGCTGACAGCGATCTTATCTGGCGTGAATTTGAAGTAGCCGTAGGTCGGCGCGATCCCACCCGCCATCACGTGGGTCGCCGGCGTTGCACCGCTCCGACGTCCTCCGACGTCGCCCTGCGAGAAGCCCGCAGCAGCCGCAGGCATGAATCACCCCTCTTTGCCTCAACGTGCCTCCTGCACCGCTGCCGACTTGGTCACCGGAGTGGACGCCCACGTCGATGCCGCCTTCACTGTTCGCAGGTCGAGGAGAGGCAGGTCGAGAAGGATGCTCCGCTGGCCACTTTGCGTGGATGCCTAACTCGACGACTTCCAAGGGGAGAGTCTCTCTGTACTTTCCATCTGCGTGGCATCTCCTCGCATCAACCAGCTGTGTCTCGAGGGTATCCACTGCACCCGCATCACCTACGGCACCAAAAATGGTAACTAACACAGCTGCTGGCCTACGAACAAGATAGGTAGCGTGCAACTAAGTCGACTAGACTGAACGTAAGTCGCGGTGCCGTCCACGCTAACCACACTATGCGGAGATAACTCAAACAACGAGAGCTAGAGTACAGGAAAGGCATGGGTGTTAGGAGTGATCTCTGTGTTCGTTCCTTAGTCGCTAGCTTGTGCTCTCACTATTTCCCCATTCATGGGGAGATTAGTCAAGAGTTTCACTAGCAAAAGTTCACAACAATTATACACAATGCAAGGCAACGATGGACTACATCTGATGCTAGCAAGCATGCAGGCCTACTGCTAGCGCAGCACAGTCAACCGTGTTCCAGAACTGCAAGGTCAACCGTGCTCCAGCATTGCAAAGTCGCGGTGTGCCAACGCTGCACGTCGGCAGCGTGGCAACGCTGCATCAAGGCAACTGCATAGCATTGCACCTGCAGGACAGCAGTGCACTTGCTTCGTAGGTGCTCACAGCTAATTGGCGTGCTGTGCCTCATCACGTTCACAGCACAGACGTCAAGTTGACCATGTGCTTACAACTGCACCTGATCCTCTATGTCGACCTCGGGATACCACACCGAGGTCCGCTGCGCAAGAATCTTCTAGGCGACACTCGCGCACCCCGCAGTGCCCGTCGCCTGGGTAACTAGGTCGGCGTCCAAGCGCCCAGGACGCCGTCCACATGCCCCGTTCGGCGTCCAGGCTCCCAGGACGTCGTCCAGACGCCCAGGTCGGCGTCCAGGCGCCCAGGACGCCGTCCAGACGTCTAGGTTGGCGTCAAGGCGCCCAGGACGCCGTCCAGGCGCCCAGGACGCTGTCCAGACGCCCAAGTCGGCATTCAAGCGCCCAGGACAGCGTCCCCACTGCAGCAGGCCGGCTGCGCTCCCCGCACACCCGACAACGAAGTCTGCTCCGCCCAAGCATGGACGGGGCTAACACATAACTCTCGTTGACAGAGGAAAGGGTTGCTGGACAGGACGATGATTAGATGTGTGTGCTTCTCTGCCTGTTACCCCTCCTTAATAAATATTTGTGGGTTTTGTTGTGGAAAGCGGTCGATAAAATAAGCAGAATTTCATTCTTGGCTATGAAATGACCAGGACTCAAGAGGGAGGGTGGTATAACTCCTGACAACCTATTCAGCATACGCCCCTCCATATTATCGTCCCGAGGGTCTACAACTGGGGTGGATCTTATATGCGGGGTATCACGGTAAATACTTATTGCATTTAGTCTTGCCATGTACGTAGCACCCTAGTCTCAGGCAATACCGCTATTCACACTGAGTTTCTTATTGCGTGCCAAACATTCCACATACAGCTATAATGGACAAATTCAACGCCCTTTGGTTGGCTTCAGCTGCTGCAGCCAACTCTTAGGAACATCACCTATCGAGCTAATGCGCATGAACAAACCCACTCCGGACTGTGAGCCATAAGACCTCCCAGACTCCCTGCCACTGTCTCCCAACGACCTTGAAGATATACCCTCGTTCCCTTCACTTTCTTTTTTCACGACACTCTCCAACTCATCCTCCTTGTCAGGGCAGTGCTTGTCAATGAGGGCACTGAGGCGGTATGCCACATCCTTCATGGTGGGCCGTCGTGTGCCTGGAGACTTGATGCAGTCCAGAGCTAGGTCTGCAAATTCCACTATTGCCTCCTCGCTTCCCGCCGGCATCTTGCCGTCCCTCAACTCCTCCAGCTCATACGCCTCTACCAGCTTCACTGCCTGGAGGGCGTCCATGCAAGGAAGGGCGATGAAGGGGAGATATGGTGGAAAGGAGCATGCTAAGCAAGAAAGGTGGAACCATGAATTAAGTTGAGATCTGGTGAGCATACCCATTTTCTTATGTGGGTTTTTGCGTCGACTCGGGGTGACTTTCCGGTCAGCAACTCAAGAAGCACGATTCCAAAGCTGCAAGCAACCAATCGGACATGGAGGAAAAAACTTGAAAAAATGGGCAGAGGTAGCGATGACAGTACAGGGTATGAGGAGTCAACATATGTTGGGATGTTAAAAAAAAAAAAAAACAGAAAGAAAGGATAGACAAGTTCGCACTCTTGACATGGAACAGTCACTCTTGACAGTGAATACGGGAACAAGTATGCGGACCTGAAAACGTCACTCTTGACAGTGGTAACATTGGTGCGGCTGTAATCCGGGTCCACATAGCCCGGATTGCCAGCTACTCGTGTGGCATCAGCATCGCCGTGAGTGAGGCGCTTGAGCAGCCCAAAGTCAGCCACCTTGGCTTGAAAGTCGGCGTCACAAGAATGTTGGCCGGCTTGATGTCGCGGTGAACGATGGGTGTCTCAAACCTGTGCAGGTATGCCAAGCCCTCTGCTGCTCCCTGCACGAGGCGCAACCTCTAGCGCAGTGAGAGAGGATCTGGGCCATGAAACATATATGCCGAGCAGAACACACGATTTTATCAGCGTTGGTGTCATAACCTTAACAGAAAAAAACCATTCAGCAAGCGTGCTAGTGTGACTCACTTTCGGTCTTGTGGATATGGTACTCGAGGTCCCTGTTGGCCATAAACTCGTACACGAGGATCTGCTCCTGCTTGCCCGTCTCCACATTCTGATCCAGACAGAATCCCAGCAGGCGCACGAGGTGCTTGTGGTGGAGAGATGCCATGGCTCGCACCTGCAACATGGAGAGGTGAGCACACGATACAGGCAGGTGTGGATACGGACGTAGACAACGAACAGTAAATGCACCTGGCATGGCTCACACCCGCAGGGAGAACACAATACAGGGAAAATGCACATGGGCATGGAAAGGCCATGGCTCACACACACCTGCAACATGTATGTAAAGGAGAGCACGCAATACAGGCAGGTGTGGACACGGACAAGGAGAGGGGAGCAATAAATCCGCAGGTCAGCATCTTGCGAAACGAAGAGTATAGGGCGGAATGCGGCGGATTCGAGGCATGCCTGACCTCTGTTTCAAAGTCATTAGTCATGATGGTGGAGCGCTTGATGGCCCACAGCTGGCCTTGTGGCGAGCGGCCTTCGTAGACAACGCCAAAGCCACCCTTGCCCAGCACGTTGTCCTCAGACCAATTGTTGGTGGCCCTCAGCATCTGCTGCAGCGAGAACTGCTCGCACACATCCAAACCCTCCCACTTCTCTGTGCACACAACACACCAGACACGAGGAGTGAGTGAGTCAGGGTGTAGATGAGCAGACAGAGCATGTGGGCAGTGGAGAGTCAGAGTTGCAGTGCTGGAAAATTGGTAGAGGAGGGAAGCAGGGAAGGAAGCCAGGAAAGTGGTGCAGGAATGTGGGAGATGGAATGGAAAGAAGACGAGTTGAGGGGCTGACTTGGTCCGCGGGGCCATAGCAGCCATGCGACCACAGCAGCCAGCAGCGTGAATCCAGCGAAGCTGCCCAGAACAATGCCCACTATGGCACCCATGGACAGAGAGGACACTGCCACGAAATGGGAGGTCAAAAAAGAGGCATGGTGAGGTGTGGTTAAGAAAGAGGCACAGTATGCACGTATCGGGCAGTGATGCAGGAAGAGGCAATGCAGTAAGAATAGGGAATGCTGCAAGGAAGAGGCACTGATGTAAGAATAGGTAGTGCTTCAAGGAAGGGGCAACGCTATAATAACAGGCAGTGCTGCAATGAAGAGGCACTGCTGTAAGATTAGGCAATACTGCAAGGAAGAGGCAGCGCACTAACAATAGGCAGTGCTGCAAGGAAGAGGCAAAGCAGTACTAATAAGCAGTTATGCAAGGAAGAGGCAATTCTGTAAGAATAGGCAGATCTGTAAGAATGAATGAAACAAGGGTTACCAGTGGTGGTGTTGGAGTAGACAATGGCACAGGTGGAGCCGTTGCCCGAGTCAACAACCGAGTAGCCTGCATCACAGAGGCACGTGAACTTGGAAGGGGAGGCAGGGTCGGGCTGCACACACTCCCCATGGCCGTCACTCGGGCCATTGGCAGTGATGCTGCAGATCGCCTTGCAGGCTGCCTTGCTGCGCTGGATGGCGTGCGACGCGCACCCCGCGTTCGGGCTCAGGGTCAGGCAGTTGCCCGAGAGGCTCACCCTCACCGCGCTGCCTGCCCCCATCACGGAGTTATTAACCAGAGCTTCGTTACACTTGCCACCAACCATCCACTTGGAAATGTTCCATAGGTCCAGGTAGTTGGGCTCGTTGACTTCAGTGGGGCAGACCTTGCAGCCGGCAGCAAAGAGCACGGCATCTCCAAAGAAGAAGTTGTTAGCGAGGTTGATGAGGGCCCCACCGTCCGCCACCATGCTCTTGAAGTCACGGTTGATTCGCCCGTACAGGCTGTTGCCGCTCACGTCACTGTGGGAAGCTCGGGGGGCATACAGAGGGCAGAAAATGATGCTAAGAGTTCGGTCCAAGATAGTCAAACAAAAGATTCTGACGATGGGATGCCCATGCATAAGCGCGCAAGCTAATGCATGCAGGGTTTTGATTATTGAGTTTTCATGGTTTTCTCACGTTTGGTTGATACACTTGTCAAAGAGGCAGTCTGGCAGGAATCCATAGAGGTGGTTGTTGCTGATCATGCTGCCAGCAGCACAACACACACAATGCCGCACCACAAGTTACACACCCATACAACATGGGAATCACACAGAGGTGGGACCGCTTCACACATTTCAATCTTCAAAACCATGAATGCGATACGTACACAAATATTCTTTCATATCGTGATCTTCTAAACTGAAATGTGCAAGTGACGCGACCACTCACAAGCGCCACAGCCCCGGCAGCAAGCACAGGCTAGATGGCAGAGGACCTTCAATTTTGTTGTTGTCCAGCCAGCTGTGGGGGCCGGGGCATGGCATGATGAGTAGCGGGTGGAGCGGGGACATCACAGGTGTTTGTTGTGTGCTACGTATACATATGGATGTATAATATGTATATGTAACAACATATATTTCCTTTCAATGTTTGTAATAACATTTGAAGCTCGTGGCCCAATTTGCGGATCGCACCCATCAACGTTAGTAAGGTTGATGGAGTGTTGTTGTGGAATTGTTTTGGTGAGTTGTGGTTACGAAATGTGCAAATGGATGTGATTGGTTAGTGTGGTTCAACCTAGATTGTCGTATGTGAGAAGCGTGGAAAGAACAAGATGCAGATCGCTATGCACCATGGAACTTTCCAACCAGACTAGAGGTTGCCCCTGGGTTTTGCTGAGTCAGCAAAAACCCTAGAAGGAGTCGCAAGAAGTTGCGCGAAACCAAGCAGCCCAGCCTCGCACCACCTTGACTTCTTTGTTAGCTCGCCAGCCACCCAGCATCAACCTTAGTAAGGTTGAACAATTTGGGCCGCGAGCTTTAACTGTGAAAATGTGAGTGTGCTGCCTGTATTACTACCAAACAGCAAACGTTGTTGAGAAGTGCAGAGAGCACACTCACATCTGTTCTCACATCTGTTCTCACATCTGCTCTCACATCTGCTCTCACATCTGCTCTCACATTTTCTCTCACATTTTCTCTCACATCTGCTCTCAAATCTGCTCTCACACCTGCTCTCACATCTGCTCTCACATCTGCTCTCACATCTGCTCTCACATCTGTTCTCACATCTGTTCTCACACCTGTTCTCACATCCGTTCTCACATCTCTTCTCACATCTCTTCTCACATCTCTTCTCATATCTGCTCTCACATCTGTTCTCACAAATGCTCTCACATCCGTTCTCACATCCGTTCTCACATCTGTTGTCACATCTGTTCTCACATCTGTCCTCACATCTGTTCCCACATCTGTTCTCACATCTGTTCGAGGCTCTCCATTCGGCTGATGTCATCTGGCAGAGTGCCACTCAGATGGTTGTTGGCCATGTAGCTGGCGGGGTGTGGCAATGGCAGGGTGGCAGTTGGGAGGGATGCAAATGCGATGAGAGGGAGACACTGCAATGTACCATTGCTGACAGGCAATGGCAATGACAGGCAGACAGTGCGATGAAAAGCAGCGCAAGCAAGAGCAGTGCAGGCTGATGCAGGAAATCACCATAAGCAGAGGTGGGAACGCTCGATGGGGAGGGAACTTCAAAAGTAAATCCCTAGGCCCTTGAGGCTTACAGATACTTTAGACCCATCATGTTGAAGATGGCAGAGGGGATGGTGCCAGACAGCTGATTGTTATTGAGCATACTGTAGGGCATGGCATGGCAAGGGGTACATTGGTTGAAGTGCGGATTAACGTTGCATGGTATGGATAGGGTACATCTGCTACCCATCTTCTGTACATCCTGGCTGGATCAAAATTGTATCACAGCGGCCCACCTTGTTCCGATGGTATCATCATAACATGCAGTTTGGCACGTTGTGGCACAAGAAGAGAAGAGAAGGCTCACATGCCCTCGATTGAGGTGAGGGTGGAGATGTGAAGGGTGTCGTGGTTTGCAAGAGGCATCATGATTTACACAAGGCGTTACAGCTCGTTGTGGCACAAGAAGAGAAGAGAAGGCTCACATGCCCTCGAGGGAGGTGAGGGTGGAGATGGAGTCAGGAATTGACCCTGTAAGGTTGTTGCTGCCAAGGTTTCTAAGCCACAACACAGGCAAGGCAGCAACAAGATAACCTGACATGAGTGATTGGAGTGAACACATGTGCTTATTATGGGTGCAATGCAATATATACGGTGCATGGAACAAGGGGGAAAGAAGTAGAGAGTGTGGGGAGGCTTACTTACATTTGCACACAGCTGATGTTCCAGCGTGAGAAGTCGGGTAAGGAGCCCGTGAGATGATTCCTTCCCAGGGTATTGCACAGCGGAAGAAGAGCGAATGAAGGTTTTAGGGGAATAGAAGCTAAGCATGTAAGGAGAGAGTGGTGGCAGCACGCACAGTGGTGGCATGGCAGCACACAGTGGATGTACAACTCACAGCGTGTAAAGAGAAGGGGAGACACTGAGAGTCCGTGGGAGTTCCCCAGAAATAGAGTTGTTAGATACTTCCCTGTGTTGGGAAGGGGGGCAATTAAAAGGACGGCTGGATGCAGCTGTTGGAAACCTGAGGAGATTGCAAAAGGACATGAACGTACTGTGAACCTCGAAGGGCCAGACGACAAGCTTGGGGTGGGAAGTTAAAGACGGGAGGTGCAAACGAAGTAGGGAGACACATCCCAAGCAACATAGGAGGTATGTGAATCTCGGATTTAGTATTGGCAGCAGAGCAGAGCACTTGCAAAGTGTCATCTGACATGATATTCTTGAGGACAGTGGTAATCAGATTTGTATGCACCATTTTTTTGAGAGAAAAAGTTGAAGCCACACCAAAGTGGAAGCTGGAAGCAAAGGATCCTTTGAGCCAGGTCTGATGGAGCTGCTTACAGCGAGTACAGGTTGGGTAGCCGAAGCAGGCCGAATGGGAGGGGTCCACGAAAATTGTTGTCCTCAAAATTTCTGGGCAATGGTATCAAGAGCCTCGAAGTGACTTAGTTTTGCCACCTCACTTTCTACACCGAGCTGTGCGGCAATTGCACTGGTAGTGCCCGCGCTTTTAGATCACTGCGCGATCTCATGGAACAAAAGGAACTGCTATGCAATTTTTTTGCCCGATGGACTTCAACTGCGTGAGCAATCAGAGCAAATGGTGTTTCGCAGTCGCTTTTTTACAATACCGTTTTTTTTTTTTGTAACTTGCCCACAACCACAAGTCACCTTGACGAGCTTAATGCTAGTTGTGCTGTATCAAGCAGCGGTGGCACTCACATACATTCCAAGTTGCCAGGCCTGGCCAAATCACGGGGGATAACCCCTGTGAAACCGTTGTTGCGCAAGTCCCTGCCATGACCACTCCAATTGCGATCGTTAGAGTTGTTCAGGTGTTTGTTTAGGTGGTACTGAAAGAAAGGTACATCAGGCTCTGATGAAAATAGTGGCACTTGTTCCATCAGTGTGGCATGAGCAAAGGATCGACCCGGATTGTGGTTTTGGCCGCGTCGGGTCGCTCCTCTGGTGGGTTTGAACTGGCCAGACAATGCCAGATTCTCAGCTTTGATTGCTCACGCAGTAAAAACCATTTGATCCAATCGGGTAGGTCGGGTCGAGAAAGTCTTGCAGCGATGTAAGCTTTGATTGGCGCAGAATAAACTTTGGAAAAGTTCCAATGAAGCGGTTGTTTGCAATATCCCTGAATAAGGTTCAACATGCAGTGTGATGGGGAGAAACTGATTGAATTCAAAACATGGAGAGTGACATCTGGGAACGCACGCATCCAGGCACACATGCGCAGGCCACTACACAAACAGGTGGGCACAAAACAATGCGAGGTAAGCAGGCACAGAAAGGGAGGCAGCCCAACACGTGAAGCCATGAAAGACCACAATTGCATAAAAAAACATCTATTCGCACGAGCGTTCATCCATCGTGGATTGAAATAAAATGCTTCATGGATTGATAAGCAGGCAGGCACAATAATATACGGGTGAACTTAGAATAACGGCAGGCAGTCACAAAGCTTGCTGTTGTTGCATCCCAACAGAGTAGGCAGTCATAATATTCAGGTGCAACGAAAGGGGTTGTTCCAGTGATGAGGTGAGATGGATCGAGTAGACTCACAATTTTACAAGGCCAGTGATCGCTGTTAAGGACGTTGGCATCACACCATAGAGGTTGTTGAAATTGAGGAGTCTGTAGAGCCAGTATGGGAGAGAACATTTCCGATCGGTTGTTGCAGGCGGCCAAAGGGGGACCAAGGGAAGCAATGGAAAGCAAGGTGAGGCCAATAACAGGATGCTGAGGTGGTGAAGAAGAGGGGGAACACTCACAAGGCGTCAAGCCATGTCATCTGAGCCACCACGTCAAGTCCTGACCTGAGATTGTTGAAAGATATGTCTCTGCCAACTGGAGTGCGCACGCCGCACACACGCACGCACGCACCAAACGATGCACACACACACACGCGCGCGCGCGCACACACACACACACACACGCACACACATGTAAGAGGCAACAAGCATAAGGTTGGGAACACACACCAATGAACGACCAGGAACAAGTGAGGCCTTGCAACTGGTTTTGTTCATCCATCAGTCTAGAGTCGTTGGAGCAGGGAGATGTAAATGGGAGGAGCGCAGCATGGAGAGTGGCATACAGAGGAGCCATGTCAGTGAGGCTAGTGAGGGCAGGGTGAGGCAGAGGGGGCAGGGTCCAAGAAGGAGGGAGCGCAGTATGGGGAGCGACATACAGAAGAGTCATGACAGTGAGGCGAGAGAAGGTGCTGGGGATGCCTGTGAACATGTTGTTGGATAACTGATTGCAGTAAGGGAAGCCAAACAGCAGATTACAAAGGGAGACACGTAAGATTGTCCCAACATATAGTGCAGCAAAACGGCATGGGGGTTAGAAGATGACTGCGTAACAATGGGCAAACAGTGGAGGGGGGGAGGGGGAAGGGGGGGGAGGGGGGGAAAGGAGAGGGGATGGGAGGGTGGGGTGGCTCACAGTTCAGAGAGGTTGGGCAGTGCCACCAGGTGTGGTGGGATGGGCCCACTGAAGGCATTGTAGGTTAGCGTTCTGCATAGGCAGAAAGGAGATGAGACAAGGGCATAGAAATGTGACGACGTTTCAGTGTCACTCCCAAAGAGAGTTTGGAAAGCGGGAAGATATCAAAGAATGCAAGGCTGGGGGGATAGGGGTTTGAATTGAAAGTACAAGTGGGGCAATGATGAAAGGGGGGAGGAGGGGTGAAGGCGCTAATGAGGGCATTGGGAAAAGAGGGACAGGGTGGAAGACTGCAGTGGGAGGAATGAAGGGAAGAGAGGGACAATGTAAGTGAAAATGATGTAGAGATAAAAGGACTGCAAAACAAGGCACGGGAAAGGGGGGTGGGTTTACGTTGGTATGGGGATGTAGAGAGAAACATGGGTGGGTTTTGTGGCTTGGGATAGCAACATAACACAAGAACTCATATGACAGACGAATGAGCAACGATGTGAGCGGATCACATAGCGGTGATTGGGATTAGACGCAAGGTGTTTTGGGTTGTGCTTCGGAAGGTATTTGGAGTAGTTTGCGAGAGAACTTCTTGACGAGAACATGGCATGGATGTGGAGGGAGCCAAGTCCAACCATGGAAAGGAAACGAGGACATGTGAAAAAAAAAAACCGTAAAAGATACTCAAACAAAAGACAAGGAAGGTCCAAGTTCCAACTCTGGAAAGAAGAAGAGTGGAGCCGAATTAAAAAGTTGTTATGAATTATGACCAGCAAATTGAACCTTGCTCGAACTAGTTCGACTACCTGTGAAGCCAAAATGTTTGGTTTTCGGGCCAACCAGTGTAACAGTAACGGTTCGCCCGCGCCGCGTCGAACTCGAACAGTTCGCGGACAAATTTCGCAGGATTCGTCGCTACTGGTAATTTACTTTGCCACTAACGCGTTTTTCAGTCGTAAAAAACGGGAAGGTGTTAGGGTAGGTGGTCAATTACACCACCCTACTTCACACGGGTAGCAGCGATGATGCTTGTGCCGCCACCCATTCCAGCGCTTTGACTGTTGACGCGCTCGCACTTGACTGTTCCATTCCTACACACAAACAGTCACCCATGTTAGACGCGCTCGCACTTGACTTGACTGTTTGTATGTAGAATGACTTCTGAGTCCGTTTCTTGGACTTGGCTGACTTTATGTAGGATGACTTTTGAGAGTGTTTTTCGGAATTGATGCTTACGTTTGTCTCAACTTTGTCTTTAATGCCTTGTTCAGGGATTCGTTGTGCTGTTCCGTGTTTGTACTCCCAGAACTGGTTCCCCAAAACCCTGCTCAACAGGTTCACAAGACAAGAATCTTCCAGAAACAAGTTCAGTTTATGTGATTTTATTAATAAACAATCTGAAAAAAAAAAGGGTCCAAACTTTTGCGGTTCACCTAAAAAATGGTGAATCTACAAAACCAACAGGTTTGGTTTGGCCTGAAAAAGGGTTTGATGGAGTTTGGTTCAAACCTGATCGGGTCTGGTTTGAAGCCCCAGAAGCTTGGGTCAGGCTTGTGGATGTGGGGCAGGAGGTGGGTGGAGGGAGGTTCGACATACATTGACTGGACGCTGGAGGCAAATGCAGGGGGTATAGAACCAGACAGTTGATTCCATGAAAGGTCTCTGCACTAGAGGGGAGCAGAAAAAGTAGTGTACTGGGTGAGAAAGGTATGAGGGATGTGCAGAAGAACAGAATGAGGGTGTGACAACGGGAAGAGGGAGGACACAGAAAACTTACATTTTAGTTAGACTTGTTAGGGCCGAGAATGTTTCCAGAATTGTTCCTTGAAATTGGTTGGACTTCAAATATCTGATGGAAAGGGAAGGTGGCCCAGATAGGCCGTTGGGAGGGTTATTTCTCTTGTCCTCGTTCGATGTATATGACTCGTATTAACATGACCGTGCAAACGCTGATCAATAAGCTTAACCGGATGCTTTTCTATATTTATTAGGTTGCATGCATGGGTAGTAACTACATAAATTCTTGTTCAACATTGGTCAGCTGGGAGTGTTTCTGTCAGATGTGTTGTGAGGTAGAACTAGATGGGAGGGAAGGGGAGGGGGGTAGGGTTGGAGGAGGATGGGAGGGGGGTGGTTGGTGGTGGGGTGGGGTGGGGTAGGGTGGGGGCGCAGCGAGGGGGGGGAATAGGCGCTGGTGTCCCACCAAGAGGTTTTGAAGGTTTACTTCCATCGCCAAAGAAGAGTTGATAGGTGGGATGTTGGTATGAGACAGGGACGATGGGTGCCATTCTGTAGGCCCTATGTTTTGGCTGGCAGGATCGTACTGAATAAAGGTGTGCTTTCGAAAAATCTAAGTGGTCACTCAAGATCGTCTACCGAAACCAACATTTGACAAGTATTTGAGTACTCATCAACGAGCATACGTCAGCATTGGTCAGCTAGGAGTGTATCACTTAGAGGGGGTAAATTTTTCTCACTCAACAACGAGCATAGGTCAACATTGGTCAGTCAGTTAGATGGGGTAGTTTCTGATCACTCATCAATGAGCAATGCTCATCGAGCATAGGCTGGCTCGCTGGGCTTGCCTCAATGTGACAAGCCACGAGCCAGCATAGCTCTGACCTATGCTCATGTCTAATGCAGGTTATGTACTGTACCGGCAGAAATTGACAGGATGGGCATGGGTATGGTGCAATGGGTATCACGGTGCTGCCAGCAGCACAGCAGAGGGCCAGCATGACGCCATGGTAGAAACACTGCACGGCAGCATGGCAGGATGGCAGGATGGATGGCAGGATGGCAGGATGGCAGGATGGATGGCAGGATGGCAGGATGGCAGGATGGATGGCAGGATGGCAGGATGGCAGGATGGCAGGATGGCAGGATGGCAGGATGGATGGCAGGATGGCAGGATGGCAGGATGGATGGCAGGACGGCAGGATGGATGGCAAGCAGAGACTCACAGCTCCTGCAGATTGACCAGAGTGGACCAGCCCTTGGGAAGGTACCCTTCCAGGTTGTTTCCTATGAAGGACCTGCTAAGCGTGAGAGCAAGCAACAAATGGAGACCTGAGTTCTTACCTGGTGGGGCTCATGATAAGCAATTGAAGGAACCGTGAGAGCATTTTTTGCCTTAACGGACATTGCGATGCAGCAAGGAAACATTTGAGAAGGTGCACTGTGTTCATCCATATCACTTGAAACGAGTCACATTTGAGAGTTGGCATGAGCACGATCCAAGCCACAGCCGACCCACCCCAGCTTGCTGCGGGCTGGGTTGGGTCTGACTGACGTGCTTGGAATGCTGAACCTTGGCTGACCCTGCCACCATGGCTGGGCTAGGTATGGTCTGGT